AGCTACACCGATCTGCAGCCAGGAGCCAGGAGCCTGGAGCCAGGAGCTTCTTCTGGGGATCTCCCATGTGGCTGCAGGGGCCCAAGGACTTTGACCATATTGCACTGCTTTTCCAGGCCAGAGCAGAGAGCTGGATTGGAAGCGGCACAGTCAGGACTCGAACCAGTGCCCATATGGGATGTTGGTACTGCAAATGCAGCTTTACCCACTGTATCACAGTGCTGGCCCCAAAGTGTCACATTCTTTTGGTGACATTATGTTGTCTTCCTATTCTTGTTTCTAGAATTGGTGCATATATTGTTTGGCATTTGTGGAGATACTTGTTGGTTTCCACTTTCTGGGTTTTTTTTTTGGGGGGGGGTGTGGCAACTTTTATCTTTGGACTATGACTGTGAAGATAGTGGAAAGTCTACTTTTCAGTGAAAATCTAGAGGCTTATAGTGGGTTTGGCCAAAGAGCTCTGTTCAGTTCTCCAGGGATAAGGGCATGCGCAAGTTTGTGTTACATTTATTCGCTCTGTCCCAAGGGTCACACAAAGGATCTGTGCATTCCTCAGTGTAAGATCAGTTTCCCTAACAGTATCTCTAACAGGTAACCAGGAAACCCTGAGCATATGGAGTCTCCCATTGTAACTGCTCAAAGTCCTAGCCACACTGTGAGTCCTCCCACACACCCTGAGTTTTTTTCCCTGTCCAAGTACAGAAGCCTCACACAGTCACAAGCTGTCGGCCCGCTGTTAGTTCTCCCCAGCAGAATGAAGAGTCTCCACTTGGCTGATTGATGGGTAAAGACATGAGCTGGCACACCTGTGATGTATATCCAAAATCACACCCCTCTACTGACATGTTACAGGACGCTGTTGTAAAGTTATTGGGGAGAGAGAAACGTGTCCATCCCATTCTTTTTCTTTTTTTCCTGTAGTTTGGCTAGTACAGTATCTCCCATGTGGCTCCAAGCTTGGTTCCCTCTAGACTCTTCCTGCAGCTTTTTCACAATTGGCTGGTCTGCTGTGTTCTGGTCTCACTTCACTTGCCAGTGCTTGTCCATAGGCTCTTGGCTGAGTAGGCTGGAGTCCTGAGCCATGGGCGTCCATGCCTGCCACATAGGTCCACCCTGTCTCTCTGCCGTTTTCTCCCTAACTCTTCCCTGAGATTACCCTCTCCACATTTTTTAAACTATAATCTCCTGGGCTACAGCAGTAAACTCCTCCCTGCTCTGCCATATTGGGACCACCTATGGGTTCTAATAGTCTCTGAGTGGAGTCTTTGGATCCTCTATATACATAATCATGGCATCTGCAAATAGGGATAGTTTGACTTCCTTCTTCCTGATTTCTATCCCTTTGATTTCTTTTATTGCATAATGACGCTTGCTCAAACATACAGGACTGTATTGAATAGCAGTGATGTGAGAGGGAAGCAACCGTTTTCTGGTTCCAGATCTTAGTGGGAATGGTTACAACTTTTCCCATTCAGTAAGATGCTGGCCATTGGTTTGTTATAAATTGTCTTGCTTGTGTTGAGGAAAGCTCGTTCTATACCTGATTTGCTTCAGGTTTTCATCATGAAAGGGTGTTGTATTTTATCAAATGCTTTCCGTGCTAATGATGAGATAATCATATGGTTTTTGTTCTTCAGTTTGTTAATGTGGTGTATCACATTGATTTGTGAATGTTTATAATCGCTGTGTACCAGGGATAATACCCCCTTTGTCCAGATGAATGATCATTTCTTACATGTTATTGTATTCAATTGGCTAGTATTTTAATGATGGTTTTTTTGTGTGCTTATCAGGGACATTTGTGTGTAATTTCTCTCTTGTATCCTTTTCTGATTGGAATTAAGGTGATGCTGTCTTCATGGAAGGAGTTTGGAAGGCTTCCCTCTCTTTCAGTTGTTTTGAATAGCTTGAGAAGAATTGGTTTTAGTTCTTCTTTGAATGTCTAATAGAATTCAGCAGTGGAACTGTCCAATCCTAGGTTTTTCTTTGTTGGGAGTATCTTCATTACTGATTCAATTTCTTTTTTGTTTATTGGTATGTTTGCTTTTTTGTGTGTTCCTGGGTCAATTTTGGTGGGTTGTGTGTGTCCAGGAATGTTTTACTTCTAGGTTTCCTGATTTGTTGGGCTATAGCTCTTTGTAGTAATTCCTGATGAGAAGTCAGCTGTGAGTCTAATTGGAGACACTCTAATAGTAATCTGATAATTTTCTTTTGCACATTTTAGAATCTTTATGTTTTACTGTGGAGCATTTGACTACAATATGTTGTGGAGAAGGTCTTTTCTGGTCATGTGTATTAGGAGTGCTGTATGGCTGGCGCCATGGCTCAGTAGGCTAATCCTCCGCCTGTGGCACCGGCACCCTGTGTTCTAGTCCTGGTCAGTGCTCCGGATTCTGTGCCATTTGCTCTTCTTCCAGTCCAGCTCTCTGCTGTGGCCCGGAAGTGCAGTGGAGGATGGCCCAAGTGCTTGGGCCCTGCACCCACATGGGAGAGCAGGAGGAAACACCTGGCTCCTGGATTCAGATCAGCATGGTGCCTCATCTGCAGCACGCTGGCTGCAGTGGCCATTATTGGGTGAACCAATGGAAGAAGGAAGACCTTTCTCTCTGTCTTTCTCTCTCTCACTGTCCACTCTGCCTGACCCAAAAAAAAAAAAAAAGAGTGCTCTGTGTTTCCTGTACTTGGACATCACTTTCTTCAAATTCGGGAAGTTTTCTGTAATTATTTCACTAAAAGGCCTTCTAATCCATTCTCCCTCTCCATGCCTTCAGTAACCCCTAAGACTCTATATATTGGTCATTTGATAGTATCCCATAAATCTCCAACCCTATTTTACATTTTTCTAATTTCTTCTTCTTTGTGTTTGACTGTTAATTTTACAGAGATTTGTCTTATGGAGTCTGTTGTTAAGGCTTTCCATCGCATTTTTTAAATTTGATCTATTGTACTCTTCATTTCTAATATTTAATTTTGATTTTTATTTCAAATCTCAATTTCATGGGAAAATTTTCATGCATATCAGTTACGGATTTATTTAATTTGTAGTTTTGCTTCTGATTACTTCTGAGTAAGCCTACAGTTAATTTTTTGAAATATATTCCCTGAATTTTATGAATTTCTTCACCTTCCAATATTGCAGTGTTGTGTTTTTTTTTTTTTCCAGGGGCATCATGTTATTTTCTTTATTCTTGTTTCTTGAATTTCTGCATTTTATATTTATGCATTTGTGGAGACACTTAATTTTTTCCCCTCTGATGGCTTTTATCATTGGACTGTGTCTCTGTGAATTAGTGGAGTGTCTGCTGTTTCAATGAATACCCAGAGGTGTGTGCTGCTTGTGACTAGGCAGCTCTGGTCACTGCTCCAGGGTGGGACCAGTGTCCAGGGTAACACCCATATTGGGCATGTTAGATCTCCTCTTGTCCTCTTGTTAATAGAAAAGAGGATATGGTCACTGCTGTTGGCATAATCACACCCTCACTCCTCTTTTCCAAGGTGAGAATAACCCAGGTGTTAGCCCTCAGTGGGTACTATTCTGTTCTGTGGTTCTGCATGAATGGCACAAAGGATCTGTGCAGTCTTCAGTGTGAGCACAGATCCTGCTGCAGTGACCCACCCCAGGCAGCCAGGGTGCTGAGCTTGTGGAGCTACACACAGTAATCTCCCAGAAACGCAGCTACACCTTGCACCCTCTCCTGTATGCCTGGGTTCCCACAGTCTCAGTACCAGAGCTCCCATAGACACAGGGTGCAGAAGACCCACCCCACCACACTAACCTGTTCTGTCCACGGAGAAGCTGAGAACCAGTTGCCTAGGGGTGCTCCACTTAGGCAGTTTGAGCTCCAGAGCCTGCATTATGTTGAGAGGCTAAGGGCTCGTGATAGTCATAGGTGCATTTGCAGCCCCCTGTCAGTCTTTCCAGGCAGACTGAAAGTCAGTGGGGAAGACAGATTTTTCCCTGTGGTGAAGTCCCTGGTCATACATGTCCACAAGAGCTACTGGCCACAGCACTGCTTGTTTCACAATCATACCTTCTCCCCGCCAGTTTATGGACACTTAGAAGAGTCTCTGGAGCTAGTGATGATATCAGAATGGCTCCTTCTCCCTGCCTGTTGCTGGGTGTGTGCCCCTGGGCTGTTGCTACTTGAGACAAGATGGCACCTTTTCCCTGACTGTTGCTGGGAGCCTGCACAAGAGCTGCTGCAGCTACTAGCTACTTACATCCAACATGGTGCCTGCCCTCTCTGAGCTGCTAGTCAGGGTCTGTTGTGAGGGGATGGGGAGAATTGTCTCTTCTGCTGGGGTAGAGGATATCCTGTTACTCACAGGGTCCATGACACATACAAGACAGTCTGCTAGGCTGTCTCTGCAGCTATTTCAGCATTGGCATGGGCCACTGCAGCCTGATCTCACCTTGTTCTTCAGAGCTGGCACTTTCTCCAGCTCTCAGCTGCTGGGTCTTGTGTTGTATCAGTGCTTGTTGCAGCTTCCACACAGATCCACAGCATCTCTCCTCCTCTTACAGAATCTGCACTCTCCCCTGGGAATGCACTTTCTCTGCCTTTTTTCCTATTTTATCCTAGCCTATAGCAGTCCTCCTTTTCCCTATTCCTCTGTATGGAACCCCCTCCGAGAATTATCTGTTTTGTTTACCTTCTCAAAAAGCCAATTTTTGAGCATGTGTTGAAATGTAATACTCTGTGTGTTGTTTTTTAGGAGCAGAGATGCTGGGAGCTGACTAGATCATGAGGGCAAATCTGAGAATGCTGTCACTGCCCTTATTTTTTTAAAAAGGTTTTATTTCCTTATTTGAGAGGCAGAGTTACAGAGAGAGAGAGGGAGAAACAGAGAGAAAGTGTTCCTTCTGCTGGTTTACTCCCCAAATGGCCACAATGGCCAGAGCTGAATCAGTCTGAAGCCAGGAGCCAGGAGTTTATTCCAGGTCTCCCAGGTGGGTGCAGGGGCCCAAGGACTTGGGTCAACTTTGACTGGTTTCCTAGGCCAGAGCAGAGAGTTGGATCAGAAGTGGAGCAGCTGGTACTCAAACCCGTGCCATTGTGGGATGCCAGGCCTGAAGGTGGCCTTACCCACTATGCCACAGCACCATTTGAAGAATGGATTGATGGAGCAGCTTGTTTATACCTTTGCAATTCTGCCATATGACGGTGCACGGACATTAGCCACCGAAGCTTCACCAGACACGGAGTCCCCTAACACTGTGACCTTGGACTTACCAGCCTCCGAAAGAGTGAGTAATAAATCCCTGTTGTTTATAAACTTCCCAGTGTAATGTGTTTTCTTACAGCATCCAAAATGGACTAAGATGGAGTAATAATCTGAAAAGTTTAGAAATGGGTGGGCATTGAGGCACAGCAGGTTAAACTGGCATTTGGGTTGTCAGCATCCTACATCAACCTGCCTGTTGTGAGTCCCAGCTCCTCCATTTCCAATTCAGTTTCCTGGTAATTCCTCGGGAGGCAACAAACAATGGCCCAAGTGCATAGTTCCTGCCACCGACATTGGAGACTGAGATGTAGTTCCTGGCTCCTGGCTTCTGCCTGGCCCAGTCCTGGCTTTTGGGGGCATTTGTGGAGTAAGTCAGTCATGAGGTAGAGGCTCTCTCTTTGTGGCTCTGTCACTCTGCCTGGCAAATGAACACATAAACCTTATGAAAAACATCGTTGATGACATGACTTTGGTAAATGCTTCATCAAGTAAGAAGTTTAAAAAGTAAAACATGGGGCTGGCACTGTGGTATCACGTACAAGCTGTGGTTTGAATCCTGGCTGTTCTACCTCTGATCCATCTCCCTGCTAATGCACGTGGGATAGTAGCAGAGGATAGCTCAAGTGCTTGGGAGAGAGAGAGGGGGAAGGGGGAAGGGGGAAGGGGGAAGGGGGAAGGGGGAAGGGGGAAGGGGGAAGGGGCTCCTGGCTTCATCCTGGCTGAACCCTGGCTGAACCCTGGCTGTTGTGGCCATTTGTGGAGTGAAGTGAGCAGATGGAAGATCTCTTTTCCTCTGTCTCTCCCTCTCTGTATGTAACTATTCCATTCAAGTAAATACAGTAAATAAAGTAAATCTTTTTTTTTTAAAAAAAGGGTAAAAGAAACAGAAACCCTAGTTTAGTGGGAAATAAGCAACAGGTATGAACAGCTCAATGGAAAATGACCATTTACCCATATAGCATAAATTTTAAAGTAATCACAGATCATTAAAACTATACTAGTGTAATGTTCTTTATTTTTAAATTATTTTTGAAATAAATTCTCATGAATTTCATAGGTGCTGTTCCAGGAAGACAGCCACATTTTTCTCTCCCCCATCCTCTCCCTCCCTTGTCTCTCTTCTTTTCATTATTTTTTATGAGGTATAGTTTTAATCCACTTTATTATTCACAGTCTTAATTCACCACTAACCATAGTATTCAACAAGGAAAGGTAGGAAGACCACAGTTCCACAAGAGTAGTATAATTGTCTTAACCATAGGTTTGACAAGGTTATAAAACAAAGTTTTGAGCAATAGTGATATACAAAAGCATTCTTTATGATTTTGTGTTTTGATTTTAAAAATGTTAGCTTCCACATATAAGAGAAGACATGTGATATTTGTATTTCTCTGGCTGATTTCACTAACTGATGTCCTCAGTTGCATCCAGTGTGTTATTTTTTTTTTTCGAAAGGCAGAGTCAGACAGAGAGAGAGACAGAGAAAGAGTTATAGACAGTGAGAGCGAGAGAGAGAAAGGTCTTCCTTCCATTGGTTCACTCCCTTAAGGGCCGCTACGGCCGGCGCTGTGCCGATCTGAAGCCAGGAACCTGCGTGCTTCCTCCCTGTCTTCCATGCGGGTGCAGGGACCCAAGCACTTAGGCCATCCTCCGCTGCCCTCCTGGGCCTCAGCAGAGAGCTGGAATGGAAGAGAAGAAACCGGCACTAGTACCCGGTGCCCCAACTGGGACTAGAACATGGGGTGCCGGCGCCACAGGCGGAGGATTAGCCAAGTGAGCCTTGGCACCGACCAAGTGTTGCTATGTTTTATACCTGAATAAAACTTCCATTATAGATATATACCATATTTTTCTTATGCATTATCTTGCTGTGTCTGTTGTGAACAGTGCTGCAAAAAACATGGTGGTGGAGGTATCTCTTTGATACATGATGCTAATACCTTATATGTATAAACCCAGTGGGATTTCAGGATCATATGACAAATTCCTTCTGGTTTCTTAAGAAATCTCCGTACTATTTTCCACGGTCTTTGAACGAATTACATTCCCACAGATGGTGTACCAGAGTTCCCCTTTTTTCATATCCTCTCATCATTTGTTATTCTATATCATGGATTTTAACAATTAAGAAAAGGCGGTTATTTATCATTGCAGTTTTGATTTGTATTTCCCTGTTGGCTAGCAGTGTAGAGCATTTTTTCCAAGATTTGTTAGACATTTGTATTTCCTTAGAGAACCGTTTGTTGAGTTCCTTTGGCCATTTTTAACTGGTTGTTGGTTTTTTTGTTGTTCTTGTTCTCTTTTTTAAGTTGCTGATGTACTCTGATGATTAATTCTTTATCAGATAGTTAGCTTACAAATATTTTTCCTCATTCTGTTGATGATTTCCTTTGCTGTGCAGAAGCTTTTGACTTGCATATAATGCCATTTGTTTAGTGTTGATTTTGTTGCCTGTGCTTTGAGGGTCTTGTCTAAGAAGTCATCCCCTCTCCAGTGTCTTGGAGCATTTCTTCTGCAGTTGCTTCCAAAAGCTTCATAGTCTCAGTTCTTAAATTTTGGTCTCTGACCTATCTTTGTTCTGTTTATTAAATAGATTCTTTCCCTTGATCAATTAATGCTCATCAGCACATTTTTTAGAGGAAAGTGGCTTGATGAATGCATCAAATAAATATATACAAGATCATTCTACTTTGCTATTTCATAAAAATTGGTTTTATTGCTGTACATAATTTTCATCAACCATGTAGGAAATGCATCCATAACAAAATCCCTTGTGATGTTACTTTATCATTGCTAAAGGCAATGTGACTTTGGTAAAGAATAAAGGAGTTTTACAAAAATTCATTGCATGTTCAAAATCTCTACTTCATGCATTTAATGTATTTTAGAGGGAGACACATAGTTATCAGAGTACATGACTTCTGCCAAGAGAACTTTCCAATTTACATTCCTCTTATTTTGTTTTACTAGTTGAACTTCCAAATATTTTGTTTCTTAAATTTTATTAGTAGATCATGTTTCCTAAATAGAAATACCTGAAATAGACAGGCATTAAGACCAGATTCAATTTATAGCAGAAACGTTAGATTTCAGTCTCTTTCAAGCAAATATATTTCATACATCCATGTAACCACCCATTCAGTTTCATTGTCTACAACACTAGTGGGTAAAATACGCTGCAGCCAAAATAATATATTTGAGATTTTAAGAATTTGAATGTCAGACTTCCGCTCTCCATGCAAAAAATTAGATGTGAATTCCCTCAAGAAAATGACCAAGGTAGGAGGAAAGATAACAAGATAACAATACTGCAGACTTCCCAAGGAAATAGTCTGCCTGCCTTGCCCTGGCAAACCTAAGGCAGCTCAGCAGCAGTCCAAGAGAAAATGTTCATTGCAGACTGGGGAATGAGGAGTCTCACACACTGCGGAATGGGGAGTCTCACACAGATCTGATTGAATGGTTTGTCTGCCTCAGGTGGACTGCCCTTAATGAGAAACCACTACAGAGTTTTTGGTTTGTTTGGGGGATTTGTTCGTTTATTTCAAAGTCAGAGTTACAGAGTGGGAGGGAGAGACAGAGATTTTTTTTTTAACTTTTATTTAATGAATATAAATTTCCAAAGTACGGCTTATGGATTACAATGGCTTCCCCCCCCCATATCGTCTCTCCCACCCGCATCCCTCCCCTTTCCCACTCCCTCTTCCCTTCCATTCACATGAGGATTCATTTTCGATTCTCTTTATATACAGAAGATCAGTTTAGCATACATTAAGTAAAGATTTCAACAGTTTGCTCCCACACAAACATAAAGTGAAAAATAATAGATGATTTTTTAAATGATGATGAAATCAGATCAGACCTATTGTCATGTTTAATCCCAGTGAGAGTCAAGTTGGGAATTGATAATTTCTTCTTCTTTTTTTTTTTTTTTTTACAGAAGATCAGTTTAGTATACATTAAGTAAAGATTTCAACAGTTTGCACCCCCATAGAAACACAAAGCGAAATATACTGTTTGAGTACTCATTATAGTATTAAGAGACAGAGATCTTTCATCCACTGGTTATAAGAAGCCAGGAGCCGGGGGCCCCATGTTGTCTCCCCACAAGGGTGACAGAGGCCCAAACAATCGACCCATCCTCAACAGCTGTTCCCCAGGCCTCTAAAAGGGTGCTGGATCAGAAGTGGAGCAGCCAGGGCAGGAATTGGTCTGATCAATGGATGCCTGCGCCACTGGTGGCCCTACCCACTACACCACAGCACTGGTATCTGGCCTCACTGTTTTTGACCATACTTGTAAGAACAGTCTTCTGAGAAGTGCACGGCTGCCCCATCTCAGTTGATTTTTATAAATGATGAGAGATATGGATCTAATTCCATTCTTCTACACAAATATATCGAGCTTTGCCAGCACCATTTGTTGAAGAGATTATCCTTATACCAATGAATGGTCTGAACCCTTTTGTCAAAAATCAGGTGGCCATATGTATTTACATTAACTTTGGGATTCTCTGTTTCGCTCCATGGGTCTATGTCTCATTTTTTTTTATTGCCAGTCACATGATGTTTTAATTAGTGTAGCTTTTTAGTATGCTGTGAAGTCAGGCATTGTGATGTCTCCAGCTTGATTTTTATTTACTCAGGATCACCTTAGCAATTCTGGATCTTCTGTGGTTCTGTATGAATTTCAGGTTTTTTTTTTCTAATTCTGTAAAGAATGTCATTGGTATTCTGTAGATTTCTTTATGAGATAGACATTTTAATGATTTAGATTCTTCCAATCCACAAAAAAAGGAATACCTTTCCAGTTTTGTGTCCTTGATGATTCTTTGGTCAGTGTTTTATAATTTTCATTATAAAGATCTTTCATTCATTTGATTAAATTTATTCCTAAATATGCTAATTTTTGTGGTTATTGTGAATTGGATTTTTGTTGCTCTCTTTGTCAGTGAGGCCATCATTAATATGTAAAAAGGCAGCTATTTTTGTCTATTTATTTGTATGTAACCTTTACTGAATTGGATTATCAGTTGAAGCAGCATTTTGGTGGAATGTTTGTGTTCTTCCAGGAACAACATCATGGTTTTTTTTGTTGTTGTTGTTTTTGTTTTTGTTTTTGTTTTTTTTGACAGGCAGAGTGGACAGTGAGAGAGAGAGACAGAGAGAAAGGTCTTCCTTTGCCGTTGGTTCACCCTCCAATGGCCGCCATGGCCAGCGCGCTGCGACCGGCACACCGTGCTGATCCGATGGCAGGAGCCAGGAGCCAGGTGCTTTTCCTGGTCTCCCATGGGGTGCAGGGCCCAAGCACCTGGGCCATCCTCCACTGCACTCCCTGGCCACAGCAGAGAGCTGGCCTGGAAGAGGGGCAACCGGGACAGAATCCGGCACCCCGACTGGGACTAGAACCCGGTGTGCCGGCGCCGCTAGGCGGAGGATTAGCCTAGTGAGCCACGGCGCCGGCCTAACATCATGTTTTCTGCAAACATTGATTATTTGACTTGTTCTTTTCTAATTTTAGTGCGTGTTATTTTGTTCTGCTCTCCAATTGCTCTTGTCAAAATTTACAATACTATATTCAGTCAGAGTGGTGAAAGTGGACACCCATGTGTTTTTACAGATTTTGATG